TGTTGCTGGGGGCAGGTTGGTGTTCCCTGCAGACCGCAGCTCGCCCCGCCAGCCTGCTGCAGGGAGCCCCGAGCGGCTGCAAGGTAGGGCTTGGCTTTTTGCTTGCAAAGATGGGATGTGGGGGTGTTGAAAGGTTTCCTGCTCTCGCAGTGCATCCTCCCTCCCTCCCTCCCTCCTCCTCCTCCTCCTCCTTCTCCCCTGAGTCCTGCTTCGTGGCAGGTTCTCTGCGGGCTGTTGGCAGGGGCTGTGTTGTCTGTGAAGTTTCCCTCAAGGAGGGTTTGCAGAGGACGGTGCCTCTGTGCCAGGGAGATGGGCACAGAAAAAAAACCCAAGTGCTGCTTCCCCCACCTCTCCCCTTGCCCTCCCTTCCCTTTGCGCCCTGCGGCTCTTGCAGGAAGCATTTGGAGCCTTCTGGTTCCTGGAGAGAAAACCCACATGTTTAAAGGGCTCTGGTGCAAGCTGGGGAACGCCCTGGGTTGTCTGAGGGCCTGGCGAGACAGCCAGGAGTGACTGGGCACCCTGACCATCTCAGTGCCATGGTCTCTGCAAGCAGCTGAAGTAGCCATCCCACCAGTGCCTTGGTCTGGGGACAGCGTGGCCCATCTGCAAAACGTCCATGGGGTAACAGAGTTAGTTGTCCTGCCCGTTTAACACAGGGCACTGCATTTCTCCGGCAATATTGAAGAAGGTGCCAGGTCCTGTTGCCCTTCTGAGTCCCCAAAAGCATTAGAGGTGGAGGGTGGGAGGTGGGTGCTGCTGGGTGTGCGGAGGCAGCGGGCACCCCAACTCTGTGAGCTCCTGGGTGCCCTGTCCTGTGGGTTTCTGCTTTGCCCAAGCAGGAGTGAGACAGAGAACCTGGGGAGAAGGTGGTGTGGGAGAGGGAGAAGTGCTCGGTGGGCACCACCGAGGAGGAAGGTGTTCCTGTGGGCATGGCTGGGGTCTGCGGGGACACCCAGCAGAACTGCCACCGAGCGGGGACACCCAGCAGAACTGCCACCAAACTCCTCCTCAGGCTGCAGTGGTTCTGGTTTCACTGTGCTCCTTTGAGCAGAGCACGAAGACTGGTCTCTGCGGGACAGATTTTCTAAATAGTTTGAGCGCAGTTGCTCAGCACATGTAGTCGGGGCCAGATCTTCAAAAGAGCTCAATACCCGGCGTTTGGCTTTTTTGGAAAACCTGACCGTTTATTCAAGCGTCTAAATGGGAGCTGAGGCATTCCAGAAATCTGGTCCCTATTGTGCAGGCTGGGTTCTTGCTGAATATGTACATATGTACGCACTCCTACATCTATCCAGGGGACTGCTCAGTGAGCTGGTGTGGGCTCTGCGCTGCCGACAGCCAAGGGAGGTTTTTCAGACAGGAGACGGCCAGGATTTTGAAGCTGGAGGATGTGAGTTTGGTGGTTGCCATCACAATGAAGCTGTGGGAGGTTTTTATGGTTCGCTGCGGTGACAGGACATTTCTGGTTTTCCCCCTGTGTGTGCACGTGCGAATGTGTGTGTATGTAGGTGTGCAGGTTCCTTGGCGTTAGCCAAAATGGCTTGGCTCTGCCTTGTCTCATCTTGACCAGGATATGAGAAATTAAATCATTGCAGTCCTGTCTTGCTGGCGTTTGCAGCATTGTGTCTTGTTCCCTCCTCTTGCAGCTTTGGGACTGATGTGCATTTGGGATGCGGGGTCTGAAAATGGGAGAATAAGCTTTGTGATATTCGGAAAGTTTAAGGACCGGGGTTTGTGCAGTAATTTGGCAAAACGTAGTGTAATGAGGTGTCTGGCTCCCGTTTTCCATTTCTACCTTCGAGAGTGGCACTGGCAGCATCTGCAAGCTGGTGGGAGTGTGTCCAGGTGGGGTGGGGATCCCTGACTTTTCTTTCTCAATTTTTGCCTGACTTTCTGTGAAATATCGGCCAGTTCTCTCATCCTGTGTTGCCCTGGTTTTCCCATTTGTAAAATGAGACGTAGATTTTTAAAAACCTCTCTTCGAGCTGGTCGGACCTCTCTGCTGTGTGCTATTAACTGAGTGCAAATTGTTGCTGCTACTGGAATAATGAACGCTGACGTGCACATGGTCTGTGACGAGCTGCTTAACTAACTGGGACACAGTTTCTCTGTCTTCCTGTCCTAGAAGACCCAGGAGGGTTAGACAGTGTTTATAGCATGAGAAGCCCCCAAGTATTAGGAGATTTAGTAAAGATTTAATTTTAATTTGTTTTTTCGGCACTTAGTCTGTAGAAATTGCGTTTTCAAGCTTCCCTTGTTCGCTGCCAAAGCTGGAAATGTGTCTTAAAGAAAGAGGGGGGGGGGGGGGGGGGG